TTTGGGAATAAAACGAAAGAAAGCGTCACGCTCGATTGCGCCGATTTCGCTACTCGAGGACTATTACTAATAGTCCTCTAATAGCGTAGCCAATTAAAATGTAGGATTTGCATTAGTCCTCTAGTTGGGTGATACTAATAAGTTTTACTACTAATTGCTATATTTTGGTGTTTCTGTTATTATTGTTTTTTATTTTATTTACTTTTTATTGTATACATGTTTAAGAATTATTTGTTCTGTAGTTTATTTCCTTAATTAAGTGTTTAAAATGTAAAATGCAAAATGCCTCTTTTCTGACCTTATATTTATTTTCAGTTAATAAATGGTGGTCACCCAATTAGTTTAGCTCTTTAGTTATTTTGGGTGACCAGCAACTGTATGTATTTTTAATTTATTTATTATTTAGAAATTAAGTTAATATTGCAGTTCAAATGAACCTTCTTGTTGTTGTTGTTATGTTGTTGCCAGGGCAACACTCTTGGCTCCAGTCTCTTTCTGTGAAAAACCAAAAATCCCCATTTGCAGCCTTTTTAAGTGGGACAGAGGGTCTTGCTCGGAACCACGAGACGCAGGCGAGTGGTTCCGTAGTAAACTTTGACATTGCTATGACGAAATTTATCATCAATAAGAGGACAGACGCATAAAAACTGACATCAATTTGTTTTTTTACAATAACAAGACCCCAATATGGTTAAATGGCGAGAATAAATGAGGATAAAAGATGCCGTAAACTTACCGTAAACAAAGATAAGTGATTTTCATTCAAAATGACGCGAACATTGTCAATAGCTTTTCTCGCTTTTTGATTGGCTACTTAAAAAAGTCCATAAAATCTCATTGGTTAAAAATTTGACAGTTTGACAGTTGAAAGTTGAACTTGAAAGTTTGCATAAATTAAAACAGTTTTATCCGTCTGTACTCTTATTGATGATAAAAATGAGCCAATCAGCGCGCGAAAAATTAGCCAGTTATCGTAAAAATATTAATATTATTATTATAGAGTACATCACAATAGAAATGTAAAGGCAAGCACCATGCCGTGCATGTACATCATGTTTAGCTCATTATATTTCATTTATTCAGTGATGTATCTCTCTCTCTTAGTTCTTGAAATATGTTCCCGATGAAACAATTACCTGCTTCAGTTTCACTTAAAATTCGTAAATGATAATTTTTGTTGAAACAAACCCCTGAAATCTTGGATTAGCCTCGACTGAACTCGGAAACGTCCAACAATACTCCAGCCGAAAAAGATTGATACCTCAACTTGTGAAAATTCCACATAAAATGGTTTTCGACAGGTAATTCCTCGATTTCGCACCGGTAAATATTCATCGATATCCACAACGGCTTTTGCAAATATGACTGTTACATATGCCTTTCATCTTTCTCATGGCAGCGGTGGCAGCGGACGGAAATAATCTCATGTCATCGACGAATTCCATTTATCGAGTAATTCTGATTATCATATGACTGAGAAAATTACTTCACTGTGATTGGCTGAGAGCAGGCCAATTTATCGTTAATTTTTAATTCGTACTGCAGTATGAAAGCTCGGGCAATTAAGGGTTTACACTACTCGTGATATTTGAAAACTGTTTGAAATTGAGAACGAATTTTCAACTCGTATTGTAAATCCCTAATTCACTCGCATTCATACGATCACTTATACTAATCTTGGCGAGTTAACGTGTATTCTTATAGCCCGGGGGGTACTCACAGAGAAATTGCGTTGGGGTGTACGGCCCGCTTCCCAAAACCCTTAACCTATTTATGACCAAAATCTGCAACATTTCCTACCCTTTTTATGACCTGACCAAAAATTTGATACCCTTACACAAATACCCTAGTTCCCTTGTTCAGACCAAAGTTAAATTGCTGTAAATATAATTTGTGAGAGCCTTTTGTTGATGGTCTTATCGTTAATGATGAAATTAAAAAGCAGCTTCTTCTTAAAGACATACCCATATCAAGACTAGAGTGCAAAACCGTACCGTATTTAAAACCAAAATGGCCAAAACAGATACCCTATTTAAGGGCCTTTAGGCTCTCACTAGCTTATACAAGGAAGTACCTCCAGGGACTTATAGCCACCCAGCGAATCACTGGAAACCTCCCGCCCGTGTTGACAAAATTGTAGCTTTCTTTGAAAGGGCAGCATGAAAATAGACGCCTCACCCCCAGAGTTACCATGGTAACCAACAGCGTTGAGAAGTGAAACTTCTCGTTCATCACGGAACCCAACTTAATAAAAAAGAAAAACCCAACAACCCAGAAGGTTTTGCT